TCCAGGCAAAAGAGCAGCTCTCAGGTATAGGAGAGCAAAAGCAAGGATAGTTTCCACTTTCTCCCCATGTGTATTGCCCTGGAAGAATTTCAGACTTTGCATACATGGTAGGATTTCTTTATCGAATCAGTACTTCAGCTGAAGCTGTTTACAAATGATGCCTGTCAGACTTTGGTTGTCATGGAGAAAATGCATGGTGAGGCATATTGTGCTCACTAGAACTTGACCCCATGACAGTAAGGTAGAGAAGGTACAAATCGAGGTTAGGAAAGGGAATGTGTACAGCAACATGGAAGAGAAGAATTACTGAGCCTTATATAAGAATATTTTATGGAATGAATATTCAGTTTCTTGTTATTTACAGTATATTTAACATTTTATTTCTGCAGGGGATTATTTTTCTTTTGATAATTAGAATCATAATTTTTCCCATTGTGGGCTGAGAAGAGAATTTACATGTAATCTCCTTGAGAGTAAAACACTGTGTCATATTCATTGTTACAGCTGCAGAAACTTTGCCACAATACCTAGATTATATTAGGTTTGTTCAATTCAACCGAATTCCTGAATATCATCAAATTTAGATTAGAAACATAAGGATTTTTAAAAAATAATTTTCAAGTTCTCAAACTTCTTACAATACTGTTTGCCAGTTTTTAGCAAGCCCCACAATCAGAAATAGTAGCTTAGGGTCTAAAATTTGTTGCAATGTGAACATCTCTTGCTCTACGCAAAATATATATAAAGTAAATGTCTTAATTATGGACATCTGAGTAATACCATATACAGTTAATTTGCACAGGGCAATTTTGCATTAAATAAAAATATATCATAAATGGTTTCACACAGTGAAGTTATCACAATTACCTGGATATTAAAAATCAGTCTTTATACTAATAATGGATGTAAAATTGATTTGTTACTATACATATCTGACAATCATCTATTAAATAATTCTTTTAAAACTATATAATTATATAAATTCTATAATAAGACCCAGGGCTTCCTTTAACCTCATGAAATGAAAATATACCCATGGTATCTATGCTGTATACCTTAGAGACATTTCATTTCTATAGACATTATCATACAACTGTCCATAAGACGTTATTAAAATTTAATTGTGGATTTTCCCAGACCCATAGCAGGATAATACATTTGTAAATATTTTAATAGTTAAAATATAGTTTTCACTTTACTGGACTAATTTTTTGTTTTTAGGAATCTATCAAAAATCTAATCAATCCAGAAATATTTTTAAAAGAGAAAATGGAAAATATTCACAGTTTTGTCTTCCTAATATGACTAAAAGACTGAAAGAAAAGCAGGGGTTAAAAATTATCCTTTAACCACCCACACACCCCTGGATTTTGAGAAGGGGTTTCTTTAATACTTTTTTCTTACTGCAGTATTTGTTGCTTAAGGAAGTCTGTGGGTGGATAAGATGTTATTATCCCTCCTACACACACCCGTTTTCTTATTTACAACATTAAATCTCCATTTATATAAGTCCTTGAAACACCAACCCTTTTCTTTCAATACGTTCTGAAATTCTTTGGAATTGGGTCCACACATTACCACACATTACCTTCCTATAGGACACATTCATAGTAAATTGTAGGTTATCCTGATTTTTTTCAAGGGTGAGTCTATCCAAAAAGGGTGTCTGAAGTGGATGCCTTTCTAACTTTTTTTCTGAAAACAGAATTCCAACTTCTTGTCAGAAAACAGCAAGTCTTATGCTCAAAACTAATAATACAAAACTATTCTTTGTATTAATGTGTTTCCTTAAATACTAAGAAGATACAGTCATTAACATAGGAAAAGCCAACCTTTAAGATTTGTATGCAGTATTTCTTATTACACTACAGATTACCTTTGTAAGTGAACGCACATTTGTAGTTCATGCTGGAAACATAATAAACATGTTTTACCTAAATATAGTTAGCTCCTTGAGTTGTTTCATCTGAATAAATACATCGATAATTAAAAATTTTTTAAACTCCCTATAAAATACATATAATGTTATTAAGCCTTTATATCCCTTTCTAATTGTAGTAAAAATGTTCCCTCAAATATAGTAAATGACAGATATGCCCTTGTGCAAATGGGTTAAACTTAAATTATTTTAAAGTGATCAGGTCTCATCTTCATTGCTAATATAAAATTTATTCATTTAAAAAATACAAGACAATTTTTAAAAAGCAAAAAATGTATGTATTTTAAAGTGATTTTGGATTTGGAGATTTAATGATATCATTTATAATAGCCACACATACAATGTGTTTTGCAAATAAATTTTTTAACTTCACTATTCAGATCAATTCTTTCCAGATGAGAATTATATTAACTTTTGTTAAAAGAAATTAGAAAAATAATCATTAACCACCCAAAGTGCTTGCAAAGATGCCCCAATTATTAACTAAATACACATTACTGAGAATATATCCTACAGAGGCCAGTTAGAACAATCACTAGCTAGGATTGATGTATTAACCAAACAATCACAGGTAATTTAATCACTTTTGGTTAATTCAAAGGAAACTATTTCTGGCTCTTCTGATACCTTGATAATAGGAACTGTCAGAATACAGAGGCAAGTCCATCTTCTATATAGCAGAGGTAGTGAGTCAAATATATTTTATGAACAATGCAATGGATATGTGAATTGGAATTCTGCAGGTTACTCTAAACTAGGTTTTTAGGTTATAGTTATTCAGCTTTTTGGCACCTTGTAATAGAGTAAAAAATTAAAGAAAATTAAAATCATTACTATTTCAGAGCAAAGGAAAACAAAGACTAGAAAAAGAGTAATTTAGTTAAAAAAAAACTTGTTTGGTCTCTAATTTAAAAAAATAGTTTATGCAGTAGGAGTAAATACTCATTATCACAACTTCCAGAACAACAACTATTTAAAAAGAGTACAACTCAGAATTAAATAGGTTATATGGTCTTTTCTTTTTCTAAAGCAATTATCTTTAAGAAGTTGCTTTGTTTTTTTCCCCTCGAAGTTACTATAAAGTACCTATAATTGAAAGGAAGAGTAAAAAGCAAACAGGAGAAGAAAATAAGAAAAGGAAAGTGGTTTCCAACTTAAGTACAAAGTTCAAGTTATAAACATCATATCCTTGACATCAAAATTATTTCCTAAAAAATTACCTTATTTAGATCACTGGATAACATAATGAACCCCAAATTTCAATATGGAATGCAACAAGGAAGAGTGAAGTTGATTTCATTTTCACTTGCATGAGCTAATTACAATGAATGAAAGCTGGACACCAGTGTCTGAGACATAAACTATGTCTTCTTAAAAAATCAATTAAAATGAAGAAATGATATGTGATATGATAAGGGACTCAAATAGAAAAAGCATATCATGACATTTTAATAGAAAGCGCAATGACGATTTTCTGTGTTCTGTGGTTTAGCTTGTTTTGTTTTTGAAGATGCTAAAAAATTAACAAGACTTGTTGCATGAAAAGCGGCACAGTTGAAACTCAACACAGGATCTGCAAGATCAGGTAATCTATATATAAAGACTAAATGTATCTGGGAAATAAACAGGATTTTGCGTAGGAACAACTCCCTTCCAAAAGCAACACTATTAAAATTGATTAATTCCTTAATATTCCAATGGTGAAATATCTACGTAAGCAACTATCTTTTTCCTTTCTTTTTCTCTTTAAGATTTAATTTGTTCTTTTAAGCTCTTCTTTTCAAACAGCTGGAGAAGCTTTCTTAGGAATACTATATTAATCAGCCAGAGGGGTTGGCAGGAAAACAATTTCTTAGAAGAAGTGAAAGACTGTCCTAACATCAAATGACTGTCCAATGTCATGTAACACTGAAATAAATTTTATGTTCTCAATGTACTAAATCTTGACTCCTTCAGTTTTAGTCTTTATGGGAAAAAATTGTGCTCCAATATTTTGCTGTAATTGTGTTCTCTACGTATTGTTTATTTAAACTAGTTAAGCCTTTCATTATATAAAGCACCTTGATAAGTCTTTGAAATATTGCCCAAACTAGATAAGGTGTGATAAGTCAGATCTTTCCTGAACCCCAAATCTTTTATTTATCTTTTATCAAATTCTGTATTTAAAAACTAAAATTTACTTTGAATCATACATTTGATCAGTTTATACAACTTAAGCAAGGCCTTAAGAATGTATGTTTTTGTTCATTCTCTTTTTATTTTTCTTGTTGAAATTTTATATAATTTTTTTTCTTGCTGTGTATAGGGGTGGGATTTTGTTGGGATTTCATTTGAAAAAGCATTTTAAGAAATTTACAATGAAGATTCAATTCATAAATAAAGTCTTATTTGGCAGGCAGTAAGTACATCGGATAAAATTTTAAAAGTTTCTCCCTCTCTTTTATCTTACATACTTCCTTAAACACATAATTTAATAATGAAAACATGTCTTACTTAGCAAAAATTAATTTAACCAAAGAAGTAAAGATACTATATTATTTTCATTGGCTTAAATTCTGTTTATCATTTTTACTTTCTTTTATGAAAAGAAAGTTTTCAGTTTCAAATTATTGATTTGATAATTAAGACCTGCTCACATGGTAGTTATGTGTGTGTTAATATCAATACTTGGCAATTTAGGGCAATATTACATATTTTAAAATCTCATTATTTAAGTGATTTCTTCATGAATTCTTTCTGCCCTGCCAAATGATCTTGGAAGCTTCTGTTAGGAAGTTTTGACATGCAAATCTATCTCAAAGGTAAGTTGGGCACAAACAAATAAAGGAACAAGAAAGATTAGATGAGGTAAAGTTCTTAAGTAAGATTCATAAATATATTAAATAATTTGCATGGTATATACATTTGCTTCATAAGTAGAATGATACTTTTTCATTTGCCTCTTTCCTAAAATGCAAAATGTGAATTTGTCTCAGATATCTGTAATGGTAAATACATAAGCAAATATCCATAAATGATATCCACACGTAAGTCTTCAAATATATAAAAAGACAAATCTTACCTCCATCTCCAGATCCTGATCCTGCATCTGCGGGGGGAAGAGAAATAATTTGGTTTTGTTTGAGAAACATACTCAAAAACTATTTATGACTTTATTTGGTTCATGCTTACTTCCTTTATTAAGACAGTAATATAATGGAGAAAATTACTAATATTTAATCTGAAAGTGTATATTCACATCAGTTTAATTTAATTTGTGTAATATAGCTTATCAAATAAATTTTCTATTATTTTCATTCTTAAACTTCATAAAAAATTATTATCTAGCTTTGATATTATAGCTTATTTTAATTATTACATTCTAAAATTGACTATGTAAAATGTCATATTTTTATTTTAACCAGGATGAATTTGGTGCCATTAACAAAAAAAAAAAAAAAGAAAATGAAATGCTTATTAACAGTGAGATTCAGAAATTAAACAGGCTAAGACATGTGGCAAATAAACTCATAATTAAGGCTTATATTATTGTAAATCACATATACACAAAAAGAAAAACAGTTTATAGATAATTATCTTTTATATAATTGCTAATATATTTTCCAAATACCACAATTGTGGATGAGTTTATCTGCCACCAACATCCTTTGTTTTTTTTTAATTAATTAACTTATTTTTTTATTATGTTAATCACCATACATCATTAGTTTTTGATGTAGTGTTCCATGATTCATTGTTTGCATATAACACCCAGTGCTCCATGCAGTACGTGCCCTCTTTAATACCCATCACCAGGCTAACTCATCCCCCCACCCCCACCCCTCTAGAACCCTCAGTTTGTTTCTCAGAGTCCATAGTTTCTCATGGTTCGTCTCCTCCACCGATTTCCCCCCCTTAATTTCTCCCTTCCTGTCTTCTTCTTTTTTTTTTTTTTAACATATAATGTATTATTTGTTTCAGAGGTACAGGTCTGTGATTCAACAGTCTTACACAATTCACAGTGCTCACCATAGCACATACCCTCCCCAATGTCTATCACCCAGCCACCCCATCCCTCCCACACCCCACCCTCCAGCAGCCCTCAGTTAAGAATTCCTCATATCAGTGAGGTCATATGATACATGTCTTTCTCTGATTGACTTATTTCGCTCAGCATAATACCCTCCAGTTCTTTGTTTTTGAAATCAATAGAAGAGAGAGATTAACTTTTGTCTTTGTGTTTAAAATTGGATACACCCTAAATGATGCTGGCAGAGAAAAAGGATACCCTCCTTCTGCATTTCTCTTTATTTCTTCTCTCCCCTCCTTCCTACAGAATTGCAGTTGGTCAAAGTTGTCTATTTCTGACAACTGAGTTCCCAGAGACACCCAGTTTTCTCATTGGGAGTCAAGACCATTGAGTTTCCATCTGGTTCTACCTGTGAAGTGTAAACATCATCTGCCTTCTGCCTCCCTACTTCTTTTCATTCTAAATACATTTGGTTATGTATTTTTAATGTTAATACTGGGGAATAAGACTAATATTGGTATTTTCTGTCTGAAATGTTTCATCTCACACTGAAATCTCAACCAGGATTCAAGAACTATACTGAATGCCATTTCTATGAATTTGTGTTTGATGCTTTAGTACAATTTAAGAAATAAAACAAAGCAAAAACCCAAGCCTCCATTATTTCTACTTGTTTGGCTCCATGACAGTTTATGAGAGGCATGGTGTAAAAAATGATATGGTATATGAAAATCCACAGAAGGCTGACATATGGAAGAATAGATGCCTCCTTCAACAGCTATGCTTGTCATCATGTTAGGCATTAGCAGTGTCATGAAGGAGCAGTAGTTTAAATAATGAGCCTTGGTGGAGACTCCTATTAACTAAATTCACAGGGTCTAACACTGTATTAAATCAGAAAGCCAAGTTATTTATTAACTGCTAATGTGACTAAAACATGTCTTTAAGCCAACAGATTTTTTCTTTAAAGCAAGCTAATTGGTAAAACAATTTATAATAAAAACCCTTCTTAGTAAATATATAATCAAATAAGGATTTTAAACATACGCCTTGACTATTTAATGATAACAGATCAAGAAAGGCTGAAGCATTTGTCACCGTAATAGAATCGTCTTGTCAACTGAACTGCTAATCATAACTCATGGCACCGTCACTTTTGGATGGGACAATGCTTGAATGGTCAATGTTTGTACACTTCCACAGTAAAATTTTAACTAAATTTCTTTCAACTAATTTGAAAATTTAATTCAGTATTACTTATAATCATCAGAGGCTAACAGGTTGTACTATTATAGCACTAATATATTTTATGTGTTTTGGTTGAATGTGTAGAGTTTCTCTTTTCTTCCTCATTACAACTGTAAATTTCTTTAAATCAAGAACCATGTCTTGTTCAGCTTTATATACTTATATGCACATAAGAGGAAATACCTAAAAGTTATAGATTCAAACCTTCAAACATTACTCATTTGATAACATAAGGAATGTTATCTAATCTTCCTAAGCTTATTTGTCCTCTATTCAATGAGTATAATAATGTCTATCTCATTGATAGATTTTGAGACTTACTGCACAATAGCAAATTGTAAATGATTATCACTGTGTCTGGAACATAAAAATTAAGATTTGAATAAACATCTTGCCTATTCATCTACAGGTTTTCTAATAAATACATAGGGTTTGGAAAAAGCAAAAAAAAAAAAATGGCAGTAGTATATTGGCTTGTGTTTCTCATGTATCTTTCTAAAAAGTCAAGGGGCATGGTTCTTAAGACAACTTTTGTTTGATTTGACCCAAATCAGGTAAGTAGGAAACAAAGAAGGAATAGGTGGAAAAAATAATCACAAGTCCACTGAATCATTATGAAATAGTGATGGGAAGCTTTAATGGTTTCTCTAGTATAAGATAAATAAGTAGCTTACTGAGGTCTTACTGGTGAGACAGAAACACCTAAGAAGTCATGCTCTTGATCCTGAAAGTCTGAACTCCTAGTCAATGCATTTCTTATAACACAAAAAAGCGAAATTGACAGCGAGGCTATTGAGCAGACTGTCCAGTAAGAAATAATTTTTGGATCAAAAAAAAAAAAAGATTTGTAAGTTCAATGAAGTATAATAAAGTTATATCTTCTACTGCCTTTTATTCCTAGAGATCACAATTTGCCATCTCTATTCAGTGTCAAATAGCATTAAAAAATAAATGGAAAATCTGCAAAGAAAAGAATGAGAATTTATTTTAGATCAAAAGTCAGAACTCTAATTTATTTACAGTCAGACCTGGTTAATCAAAATTACTTTGGTTCCTCCATCATTATTCAGATCAAAAATCTTTTAGATTTACAAGTCAATGGGAGACACATTCAGCAAGATTGGCTTACTAATTAAATCCTACAGAATTCTAAGTATGTGACTCAGCTAGGTATGGATTACTCAATTGTGATTAAATGTTCTACTTGGCTAAGTATTTATTTTCATAGTATAAACAACACGTTAGAGTCTAGCATGTAAAAACTTGAATGAATCAGGAGAATGTGATTGCCTAAGCCTATGGGCAATCTTGGAGGTTAGCAAGTAAGAAAGAGAGATTTTGGTACCAAATGTTGTTAGCCACACCATAACTTCCTGACTCTATTTTGACAACTGATTCTCATTTGGCTACTGTCAGAGACAGATTGGTATCCTATATGATCTAGAGTAGATAAACCCTATCCTCAGTACTCACTGGTGTTGCCTCTATCATTCTTGTTTTCTAAGAGTCAGAGTTTCCATATTATTTTTTCCTATGCAATTTGTCTTAAAATATCACTTTAAATTTTCTCCATAGATATGGCAGATTGATTTTTCATAATTAGTTTGCTCTTTGTTTTTCTTTCTGTTTCCCCCATCTTTACTATGAGTAGAACGCTGGTCCTCCTCCCTCCCTACTAGGGAAGCAAGTCCAATGACTCTCACCTGCTGCTGTCATTTTCATTCATTACTTCTCAGACAGATGAAGTGGCAATGATCTGTTTGCTTTAGCAAGTAAGAAGCAAGTGGGGCACCAGAAAGGACATTCACTTCATGAGGCAAAGAATCATATAAAAGAAAAGACTACTTAAAAACCAAAATCAGGGTGCCTGGGTGGCTCAGTTGGTTAAGCGACTGCCTTCGGCTCAGGTCATGATCCTGGAGTCCCGGGATCGAGTCCCACATCGGGCTCCCTGCTCAGCAGGGAGTCTGCTTCTCCCTCTGACCCTCCTCCCTCTCATGTTCTCTGTCTCTCATTCTCTTTCTCGCAAATAAATAAAATCTTAAAAAAAAAAAAAAAATCAACACAAAAAAGCCTACATCATCATCTGTGAGTAATAATATCATTCTCTTCTAATTCTTAGGAACTTTAGTAGTCAATGATATAATTTGGAACACTATCAATTACTAACAATCAATAGACTTAAGATAATCTTTTAAAGAATACAAGCCTTTCTTCTTGGTCATTTACGATCCTGCCCCAACCTACATACGACTTTTAACATAGTTCCCCAGAATAGAAATACTTGTTATCAAAGAAATACTTGTTACCTTTCCAATAAAATAGATTTTTCCTGGCACTCTTCTATATTCTCACTTTTGAAGAAAGTTCATACTTTGTGTCATTATTATTTTTCCCTGATATGCTTATGCCATCCAATTCCTCAGAAATTATGACTTTCTAGAAAGATGCTTATGTATCATTCAAGACAACTATCATGGATACTAAAGTTTCTTTAATATATGTGATTCTAATATGTCAAGCCTAACCTGTAAACTCAGCTTTATTTTAAGGCATTGCTCTATCAAGTTGGGCTATGTTCCCTTTGTTTATTTTTCTTCCTGTAATGCTGTTCAGCTCTAACAGTCACTGTACACGAAAGGAAAACCTGAAAAACTGAAGAGCATATGAGGTTACTCTTCCTCCTCACTTCCTTCAGAGCATTCTTGGTAAAGACAGCTAAAAAGCTTTGTGGAATCCCAGGCTGACTGTGTTAAAAAGGATAGATGTCCTTCACAAATACATTCTTCAATATAATCAGCTAAATGATAAGAACATTTTATAGCACTGCTGAGGTTACCCACATTTTCACTTTCAAACCCAGATCTGCAAACTACCCTCCAGCAGACGATACTATTGTTCGAAACAAACAAACCAACTTTACGTGTGCGTGGATAGGTTTCTCTATATTTGACACCTAGGCAGGAAACCTAGATTTCTAATTATATTATTCAACTGTCTGCACTTCATTAAATAACATATGTATTAAAATCAACATCCTTATGGCAGATTTTCTCTTTCTTCCAGAAGTGATTTGAAATGTAAAAAAGACAAAATAAGAATAATGTGTGCTTTGTACAAAAGAATGAGAGGCTTATCCAGGCAGTATATAGTCTGAATTATTTATTTGGCGATAACATAACAGAAAAAGCAAGACATGGTTTCCAAAGGTTTCAGGGAGTCTTCAGGATCGCACACATACCTGTGGCACATGATCCTTCAGACACTGCAAGTATCTCGCTCTGCTGTTTGCAGGCAGCCTGCCGCAGGTAGCACTCATTCTGGTAGCTCTCCCCATTGGAGCCACAGACAGGCACGTAGTCACTGTTGCACTGGGGGGAGGGGGGGCGGGCACAGAGATAGAAGCTAATGGTTAGTACTGGAGCCTGCATACCTTTGACACCTCGAACAGAAATAATCCTTTACAAAAGAAAGCGGTTGTTTTCATTTTCAGCAATCTCCATTGTATCCATGAAAGTCTTTGACCTTGCAAGAGCATCATTCAAAGATACACAAAAGTAATGTCAAGTCAGCTAATCAGTCATTTGATTCAGATGGGGTAAAAAGAAAAAGCTTCTCAATTGATCAGGGTAATTCCAACAAAGTGATCTGGGCAACAATACTGAAAAGATACAGCAACAAAATGTATCAACATTATTTAATACTGTTTTTCAGATATACACCCATCTGGCTTGGTGGAAAAAATCAAAACATGCTATAATATTCAAGTTATTAAAAATAGGTAATGCCTATCTGTGTTTAGAATAGAAGTATACAGTTGAAATGCCAATGAAATCATTTACTCCTTAGTATGTTTTTTTTTTTCTGTTTAATTTTAATCTTTACAAATTTCTAAATATTTGGATAAGACATTTGGATTGCTAATTAATTTGTCATATATCTTTAGATATTGGCAGATATAGTGCAAGAAAAAACAACAGAATATGGAATACAGGGGGAAAAATCAACAACTATTGAACTATATGTAAACTTTATTGATTATTGGAAAGTATGACTATTAATATATATTTCATAAGAGAAAAGTTCATTTTTAAAACAGCCTCATTACATAAAAGTACACATTTTACAATGGAAATTAGGCAACCTACAAGGTATACTCATCATAATATAATCACACTCTAAGGCATTAGAGATACTTGGCTGTGTCCTATACCTGCTAATTACACTAGAGATGTGATTATCTCATGATTACTATTACTGATGTGTTTCATTGTTTAATTGTAACAAATGTAATAACCAAGATGATTATTTAAAAATATCCACCTATGCCAGAAACTAAGTAAAGCAAGTCATACATACACATGCATATGAAAACACTTTTCTGTTTTCCAGTTCTTATCAAAACATTTGGATTTTTGATGGCTATAAATTTATAACACATACAAAATAAACGAACGGTCTAGTGAGATGGCTAGGAAAGTTTTAATATATATGATAATAAACCTAAAACTCTATCGTAAGTTAAATTCAACTCAAAGATATATGCCAAAAAAGGAACAAATTTCCAATAAGGTTATAATCTTATAATAAAAACCTGAAATTTATTTTTTTTACTCTATTTCCTTAGAATATCTGTACTTCCTCCTTTTCCATCAACCATTTAACTCTTGATCTTTGCCTTAATGTAACAATGGCTTAATCATCCTAGTTATTTATACATGAAATGGGATAAGTCAATGTTCTCTGAAATGAAAGTCTCATTTTATGAGTCTTTGTTATTGAAAAAATGAAATATAGCTTAGTAACAGTGATATACTTTTCTTGCAATACTCATATTATGATCTCTATAATTGCTAAGACAATGATTTAGATGTTAAATCATATCTATTTAGAAATTACTTACATGTGATTAAAATGATTTAAATATTTTAAATATGACATATTTTAGAAATCTTTATTTCTACAATTTCTAATCTAGTTATTCTGGAAGCCCTCTATGCAGTATTTCATTTTTACAGTTACACAACTGGCTCCCAGACTCAGCCTATCTATGTGACTATATTTTAAAACTGTTTGGATTAGAACCTTTTACTAATGAGGATCTTTAACTCAACAGGCATTCATTTCTGATCAGGTGATACCTGTATAAAGGCTGCCTTCCACAAGATTTCTGAAGAGATATGTATTTTTTAACTTACATCTGAGAATTGACCTACCATAGGACCCCAAATCATTATCACTACTGAAGAAAAAAGGCAATGGCAGAATGTCAGTGAGGAGTCGAATTCTCCAGTGAACAGCACAGAGGTAACACCAACTAAATGGGGCTGGTGCTTATGTCAGAACCATAGCCTGAGAGGCAGGTGGATGGACAGGTGCTTGATAAATGTGCTGTGTTCTGGACCAGGGAGGATTTATGAGGACCCACTAACACTAAAATGGTATCTGAGCTAATGGAGGAGAGATCAGAAAGAAATGAACAACTGGTAACATATAATAGTCATATTCAGTAGACTTGCTGACACTTTCAGTAGGCAGAAGAGAGTCAAAATTAGTGTGATGGCTGGACTAGTTAGCTTCTCATGTTCGGGTCCTAGCATTGTTGTCTTTGGCTACCTTTTAATCTCCATCTTCAAACCTGCCTATAACAGTTTGTAGATTATTTGGGTCCACATTTTCTTCTCTCCAATCCCTGGAACCTCTCTATTTATCTTTCTTATCTACTTCTGCAGAATACTCCGATGTAGTCAGTGGACGGGGGTGAAGGGTGGGAAGTATTTATTATCTCTGTCAAGTGCTAGTACACAATGCTGATATGCATCTTAAAATATGGAATAAACTGATAAAGCACTCATATGCCACTTCTGAGGGATGCAGTAAGCCAAATGTGAACAGTGCGAAAAACAGAGCTGCCAAGTTCCATGCACAAGCCAAAAGGGAGATTTGTATGGAGCTGAAAAGAGCTTAACTGTAGATTATCAGCACAATGTTTTTGGCCTTTAGTACCATGACTTGCACTCATTAGTATGAATAATACGAGGAGGAAGCATACTTTAAATCATTATGGCTCAGGAACAGGAGTCTGGTCCTAGTTTCACCGATTTCTCTCATTGCTCTTGTGTACATCACTCAACTATTAAATATTTAACAAGTTTATAGCTCAATTTCCCCAACTGAAATGGTTAACAAGGGTATTTGGGAGGATTAACAGAGTCATGTTTTTAAAATACTTTGGAATATTCATCTATAAAAAGAAAAGTAAATTATTTGTCTCATGATGAGCATTTTTTAATATAGTTGATGCACCGTCTAACACTGACACCAAATGCACATATTTAAATTAGAGAAATAAAGGAAAACAGAATAACCCTGCTCATAAAAATAAGCTAAGTACTATGTTAAAATACGCCAAATTATTGGAAATAGTTTTTAGTGGTAATCATGATACTGCTCAGTTTCAGACGAAGGGACAGATTCAGATGTTAAGTGACTTGCTAAAGGCCACCTAGTTGGCTGGTAAGAGAAAAAACAAGACTCAGGCCCAGATGGTTAGACCCATAAATGTATGTGTTGTACAAACTTCCTCTCAGGGGAAAAGTGATTATATTTTCTTAAGATGTTATAAAAATCCGAAGTTTATTTTCCAAATATGTGTTTTTCAGTGGAATGATTTTGCCCCAAAGTGTCCACATTGCTTAAGAAAGTAGCTACATATCACACTCATGGATTCAATGACTTGACACTCTAGAATATATGGAATTCATTTTACTACAAATGAACAAAAAATGTATGTGAGAAGTTTTTCCATATGATTTATTGCTTGTTTGGTTAATAAAGATTTCTTTCAGCTGAGATTTCAGCATCTAGAAGCCATGTATAACTTCTTTTTTTATAGATTGTCGGCACCTTCCATACAGTCTGGCATGTAGAAGGTACTCCACAGATGTTAAGTGAATTCTTGTTATATTCCCAGTTGTCAAAGGCTTAAGAATAATGGCTTAGGATATGGTATGTTTCTCTTCCAAAAAAGAAAAAGATAAAAAACCTGCACATGTCCCAATCCTTTGATCATTCCATAAGTAACTTTTCCTTCTCTGTAACCACATTTCTTTAAATGAAAGAAAATATGACTTTAAGAGTAGGCAAGCCTGTGGCTATGGTGAAAGTGACTCTGTGTGACTTCTCAGGCTAGGTCATTAAAGGATACAGCTTCTATCTGGCTCTTTCTCTCTTTCTGGATGCTTGCCCTTGACACCCAGCCATTGTGGTATGAGGAAGCTCAAAGTAGCACATATGGAGAGATCCACATTAAGGACCAAGGTGTCCAGCTGACATATGAGTGGGAGCCCTGAGAAGAGTACAAGACCAAGCCTTTGAGTTCTCTCCCTCCCTCAGTTAATGCCAAGGGAAGGAGAGATGAGATGTTTCCATTAAGCCCTGTCCAATTGTAGATTCATTAGCAAAGGAAATGTTCATTATTTTTGAGCCACTAAGTTCTGGGCAATTTATTATGCAGTCCTAGTAAGTGGAACAATTGTACATCTAAAGCATGCTTATTAAATGCAAATATTGAGTATTTGAAATAAATAATATCTAAAAAACAGAAGGCTTCATCATATTTTTAAATTACAAACTGATATTTGGTCATTGTATGACCAATGCTATCTATCAATAACTACATATGCATGCTCCTTCCTTCTTTCCTTCTTTCTTTCATTCATCCATCCATCCATCCACCCATCCATCTAATTGTCTCTAAATTTTTCTCTCCACAACTGATTTATCGGATTGAACAGAATGCCATCTGATAGATAGGAACCAGGTTCTGCCATTTCTGGAACTCACATCATCACCCAAAAATCAGTTGTACTACCTTTGATATTGAATTGTCTACAATAACTTGGTATTGTTGTTGCTGTTACTGATATTTTCATTTGCATGTATAATGTTTTGGGAGAAAATTAGACTTGGTTTCAAAGGACCTAGGTTCTTACTTTAAGATCACCACTTAATGATTGTTATTTATATTTCTGGGCCTTAATTTCCTCATCTGTAAAAGGAGGAGAAAATAATTACCTCACTTGGCTGTAATTAATAAAGAGGAGAATATGTTTATTTTCAATCATCTAAGAGAAGTGAAGGCAAATATATGTTTATTTTAGTGTTCCAAGCTGGAAAACTATAGATCACATACACACACTTCTCTTTGAAATTTATCTCTCAGCTAGAATGACCATAGTTTGCATCCTAATTTGAATGAAAGAATTTGTGATTGTATCTGTAAAAACAGGAGAAACAGAGAGTAGATGACCTCAGCTAGTTTAGAATAGTATGTAGGAAAATAGATTATCAGGACATCTCCCTTTTTATCAGAAACTGAGGGGGGGGGGAAACCCCTCAAATTCATTGTAATGTATTGGAAAGGACTGAATCAAGATAGTTTTAGCCTAAAATATCCTATTATTCTTTGCACAACTTGCACATTTTCTTTGATCTTCAACTTAAACCAGCCACTCTATATTCTTGCTATGTGTAGAGTTTAAATTTTCCAGGAAGGAAATGTTTATTTTCTCTTGACAGACGTCTGACAACTATCACAAAGCACAAGCTAATGGCAGTAGTAATCTCGCAGCAAATTTAAATGCTACAGGTATTAGGAAAAAAAAATACATTTTAGCTCCTTATTCAAACTTGCATTCATTGCCCACTCCCTGACCTACTCCACTCAAAAAGTATTTAAATTAGTGACAAATGTAACTGGCTGGCCAAAGCACGAAAAACACAAATATTTTTGTTGATAAAAGTTTTACCAAAATCCTTTGTGGAACCTGAAAACTGAACACAATTTCTTAAATAAGAAAACCATACATCCCTTTTAGTAGCATGCATCGATTTAGATTTTGTGAACTCCATTATTTTTCTCTTGTTGAAATCTTGTTAGAATTATGGCTTTCCATTTGAGGAACATTCTTTTTGGTTCATTTTGTACTGTTTATGAATTCACTTCTTATGTCTACCCTTGGTTATGAAAGCAAGACAAATTTATGGGAATCACAAACTGAAAGGGGGGAAAATCCACAAGATCCTTTGGGCCTTTAATTAATGATTTATCCCCCTGTATTTTCTCTTTAGTTAACATTTGGAGAAAGTATGAATTGGAGAGCTTTCATGCTCCATCTCTCCCATGTAGTTCATTGAAAGAACATAATTACATTGTTCAGTGTGGCTGGAGACCTTAAAGGTTGGTGTCACATGCATATTAAGTAGGCACAAATATGTTTTTTAACACTATAGTATGGTCTGAAGGAGTGTAGCATGGTCACACCAATACTCACCCACCAGCAGGTGGTGCACTTTGCAGTCGTTTTATTGCTTTTCTTAGAAAGAATAATGTCCAAGCAACTTTGAGCTTATCTACAAACAATTCAAACTATATTTAAATATGAATTCCCTTATCTCTCTCACTGGGAGGTTGAATTCAATTTAAAATATTCAGTTTCATCAACAATTCTAAATACTACATACTGTAACAATTGTTTAGACCTGAATTTGAGTTTATGTTTTCATTTGTTCTGTACCTTTTTTCTTTTTCTTTCTTTCTTTTTTCTTTTTTTAGTTTTGCTTACAATCTTAGAAAAGTTTTCCTTGATCCCACTAATATAGTTGTTTATGCACATATTTCCTGGTTGAACCCTGTGTTAGATTTCATGTGTATTTGAAAAATCCAGCAACACTTAAAGGTGAATATAAGACATTAGTACAACACCTATGATAGTTGACGGTATGTATGCTTGTATAAACATTTTGAGAGAAAAGAAGGTTTATAATTTACACGGTATAAAGCATTTGTTAGATGATGACTATAATAATGACATGAAGAGTTCTATCTTCAAGAGATACTCATAACCTAGTTTTGATGATGTCCCTTTCTTTTAAAAAAATTAATTTTTATTTATTTTTCAAACATGTGGTAAAGTACATTTTTCTAACGTTTATGAAATAACTTGCAGCTATTTGCTCTCTCTTGGATTCCTGGGAGATTCAGCTGTAATTGAATGTGGTACCCATGAAAAGTTGATATATATATTAATAAGTTCCATGATTTCAAAAACTAGCACAGTAGTTTTGAAGTCCCGTTAATAAGGAGTTTATTTAAATACATAACCATTTTGCCCGGAGAGTAAAACCCAAAGCCATTAAAACAGAGCAATATGATCAAAAAATGATAGCCCCAATAAAAAAGAACAAAAGTTCGAATCCATACTTCCTATCCATTGATTATTTTGGCTATTAACCCCAGCAGTTGATTTATAAAATGCATGCTAGATGGGACACATAAACATAATGTACCTCGGACACACCAACAGAACAACCTGAAGCTTTCTACCTCCACTGGCATTTATAACTCTGGCATACACATTTCTCCAAAAAGCTATGCCTTTTTGACATCCGTTGGCTCTCCTGGTAGTACAGCGCTTTTGCGTGGTGCGAGATTTCCTCTTAGCTTGCATAGCTATAAATTGCCAAAGGAGATCCCTCCTTTGTAGTCTCATTAATGAATAAGAAGATACAAAAATCAGACTTCTTACCTTGAACTGACAGACGCAAGTCACAGTGTCTCCAATTCTTAAACATTCCCCATCAAATTTACAGGTGTTGGTGTCACAGAGGAAGAGATCATTTTCTCTGTCATCATAACCTCAAATTTAAAGAGAATACTCCAGTCATTAAAAAATGTTATAGACTTCAGCAAAAAAAAAAAAAAAAAAAAAAAGCACTATCTTGAAGCTTTAAAAGAATTGCTCTAAATTTTAATTCCAATAACCACAGCTGTACTGCAAGGTCATTCTCTACTGATCACCTCCAAAATCTAGTTAAGTGATCAATATTCATTTCTTTTTTTCACAATTCCTTTCTAGTCAATTCTCTTTTAATATTCTTTTTTGATATTGCTATTTTATTTTAACCAAGGTTAATACTGGCAGCAGTGAATAAAGGTTTAACACTTGCTTCCTAGCTTCCTTAATTTTTTCTTATTAAGTAGACTATAGTTTATGACCCCCAAACTCCACATTTTAGAAAAGAGCTGGTGATGGTCTCTGAGTGTCATTTTACCATTTCTCCATTCTTAATCATTCTTTTGCTTTAAGATCTGGAACAACCCCTTATTTGGAATGTCTCCAGACAAAGAAGAAACAAAGCCCCAATAATAAAGATAAACAGGCACAGTGTTTTCTGTGATGGTCTGTCTGGCTCAAATGAAGATTGATCACCTCTAAGTTAACAGGGGTGGAGGGGTGTGCCAGGTTCTTGAAAATCTGCTTGGAAAACAAGTTTATTCTTCTTAGTTTCTGCAGATCTCCTTAAGATACCTGGCTAATAATAAATTTCTTAATTGCCAACCTCAATTTCAAATTTAAGTTAGTTATTTCCTAAAACAATACTACACTTGGGATGAAGCAAACCAGTCATGTTGGACTACAAAGCTGTGCCCATTTCAAACAAGTGATTTTTGCAGGTTGTTTAATATATCTATGATAAGGCACCTAAAAAGTAATTAGACACCTGCAAAGTGGAACTTAGCTTTTCAAAAATAACATATATGCACCCATGAACCACGAATAAGTTAAAGTAAACATGTTAAATTCTATAAAAATACCAAATTTAGAAATTGCCAAAAACAGAACAAAGGCAATCTATTGACCCAAATCTAATAGGGTTGCAAATCTCAACCTGTCTTTAAAAAGCACAAGCTACAGTGATGCATAATAATTTTCCTCATGCAATTTACATCAGTAACAACCTAGAACTACATATTCTTTCATCCTATGAGTTACAGTTGGTCATTCCCACCTCTCCAAAGTTACATACACTTCAGCTTACATACATCCCTGGAAGCCACTTTATTCAGAGCCAGATTTAACTACAGCAGAATTATATTTACAGAAGATGAAAAATTACATGCACACTTGCTAAAACTAGAACAAACCAGACCTAGGGGACAATACCCAGGCATGTTAATGCAATTTAAAATGCCAATGAAATCACACCAGAATCCCGCCAGGGTATACTATGGGCTGTCATACTGAAATGCGAAGCCAGCTCGGAGTACAGCAACTCCCGTCCTCGGGCCCTATTTAATTAGGAGGCTTCAGCAGAGCAAAGTCTGCCAAGCTCTGGCTTTCAGACTCTGAAGGGACCCAGCGAGCAAGAAGAGCGCCTGACCCATTCCAAGGAAGCCTGCCCAGAAATGGAGTCAGCGTCCACCCGGGTCGGTTCCGCCCGCCTGCGCATAAGCCTGCCTGGCTCAGTTATGCCCACCCAGGCCTGGGAGACGGACGAATGATCTTTTCTCAACTTCCCTTCACCATCAAGGAGCTTAGGGAGGCAAGAGAGAAGCATCTCTGGGCTGCAAAAACAACGTCTTTTGCAGCCAAGTAGACTAGGAGGATGTGAGAGAGAGGAAGAGAGGGAGGGAGGGAGAGAGGGAGGAATGAGGGAGGGAGGGAGAGAGAGAATGAATCTCTTGAAACCTAAGCTCCTTCGGAATCCGTGTGACCTGGTCTTGAAAGCGAGACCGGGGCACCTCGTGGCACTTTTGCCAGGAATCAGTGTTTCCTCTACAGTCATTATTTGATTTATTGCTTTCTCGCTTGTTCTTTCTCACAAAGTTATTTCTCGCTCGTTTTAGCCAGACTTTTTTCTTTAATGATGCGAAAGGTTGCGTTTTAGTCTTTCCCCCAAGGGCTGGTGCTCTTTTCGATGGATCCACAAAGCCATCCCGTTTAGTATTTCTTAACATACCCGCAGTTCTAAGTGCAAGGATGCGAAGGTCCCTACACCTGCACTTTCTGCCCACCCCAGACCCCCTCGGCCCCCAGCTTCCTTAGCGGCCTGGAATGGTTCCCTGTGCCCCTCTGGGTGGGGGTCGATGGTCTCAGAGGTCTGGGGCAGTAGGAAGCGAGGGGCCGAGGAGACGCACTAAGGTAGGCTGGTCTGTGCTGGAAACACGTTTCCCCCGCGGGACTAAAGGGGTCGGCGGCTGCGGTTCTGGACTTACCGGAGCAGTTCCAGCCGGTGGGCGTTTGGCAGTCACTCAAGGAGGTAGGGAACGCCGCGAGCTTCGCCGGGCGGGCTACGATGAGCAGCATCACCGGCAGCAGCAGCAGCCAGCAAAAGCCCTCGCAAAGTGTCCAGCTGCTGCACTGCCGCGGGGACTCCCACGGCACCATGACTAGTTCGCGCAACTCTGCAGTAGCAAACGGCTTCCGAAGAACACGCGATCGCGGGGGCCGGGCGGCGGGCTACTGAGCATCCCGCGGGCGGCGGCAGCACGGGCGGCGGCGGTGGCAGGGGCACCCGACGGGGAAGCAGCGGCCAAACCCGCGCATGGTCTCCGGAGTTTCAGAAACATCCAGCGACCCGGCCCAGCCCCGGGAGCGAGAGGGTCGTCCGCTGGGAAGCCGCGCCGGAGACTCGGGGGGCCGCTGCCATGGGGGGGGGCTCTGGGCAGCCGGGGGGTCACGAGGGGGCCGGAGTCCAGAGGGCAGAGGAGAGGAGTCCAAGGAGGCTGGGTGGAAGGAGAGTCAAGGCGCCCCGCAGCCCAGCAGCCGCCTCTCGCGCTCTGCCGCCCGCATCCCTCTGGCGTTTGGGAAGCAGCAGGTCCTTAGCCCGCCCGAGATCACGTGGGAAGAGGCAATCGGGCGCTGATTGGCGGAGCGGGATGCAGGTCCCGGGAGGGAGGGGTCGGCGAGGAGGTGCAAGGAGGAGGCGGCGGCGGATGCCACAGATGGGCTAGCTCGCCAGGCGCTGGCCCGAGCGGGGCTGCGCGGGGACGGCTCAGGGGAGAAGCGCGGGCTTCGGAGTGGGCGACTCCCACACCTTTATATACCACCTGTCCTTTCACTCTCCGCCCCAGGACGCCCCCTACCGAGCCCTGGGTCCGGTCTAGGGCCCCCGATCTAGCTCCCCTCTTCAGTGCGTGACCCCGGGCCTCGAGTACCCGCCGCGGCTGGGTGGCGTCTCTCCGAGCTGGAGCTGGTGAGGGCGGAGGTGGAGGAGAAGCGGTAGCAGCAGGGCTGAGAGGGGAGAGCGGGCCCAGAGAGGGTGTCCTGCTGGAACCCGGGGCTCCTGCGTGCCGGACACGCCGCCTGTAACCGGGTTCAAGCTGGGAATATCGCGGCCAGAGCCCAGGGACCTTTCCTGAGGGAGGTGCAGAGACCGGGAGAGGGTGAGAGGCGCTGGTGTGAGAAGAGCTCTGGTCGGCCTGGAAGCAGCCCCGGTTCCCACAGGAACCTGCGACCCTGAGGCTGCTCGCCTAGCTGACTCAGCCAGCCTTCCAGGCTCTCTCCTCTTCCTTCCTCCCTCTCTCTCTCTCTGCTCCCCTCCCTGGCCCCCTGCAGCTCCGACCCTGCCTGAGGAGCCGAGGGTTTGGAGCCTTCCCCTCATCACACGCTCCTCTCCAGCCGGGAACCTATTAGTGTGGCTGCCTGGGAGGTGCGGGTAAATGTGTTTCGGAGGTCAGATTTGGTCCGCACAAGTGGTCCGAGAGAGGCAGGGAGGGCTCCTCGGCATCAGCAACGGGTGGGTAGCAGGCGCATCCTCCAGGAAGCGGCTTCCGAGAAGAGCGGCTCACTTCGGCGGCGCGGGTGGCGGCCCTGGGCGCTTTAGCGGATCTCTCTGCCGGATCTCCGGTGGCCTGGGGAGGCGAGAAGGTCTAACTCCACAGGAGTGTGTCGCTCAGTGCCCTTCGTTCTTTCGCTCCTGCCGGCGCTGAGCAAAGGCGTAGCGGGACCCGCCTTCCGCCCGCTGCATTCTTCACGCAGTTAGACACTCTTTAGCCTAATGGTATTTCAGTCGCTAGTAACTGGTCCAAGAGCTTCCCGGGACACGGATGGAGAGGAGCATCTTTCTGTAGTGACCCGGGTCGTTTTTGCGGTCACAGTGTTTTGGATGACCTACAAGGAAGAATTTTCTTTTCTGTGTGATTGCTCAGTGATTCAAGATTTTTTTCTCTCCCTTCTCTCCCCCAGCACCCTCCTTCTAAATCTCTTTCCCTCCTTCTTGCCTTTCTTTCCTCTTCCTCCCTCCTTCCCTCTTACCTCCCTTCGTTCCTTCTATCCTTCCTTTGTCTCTCCCACCCTCCTTCTCCTTCCTTCCTTCCTTCTTTCTTCCTAACTCCCTCCCTTCCTCTTTTTCTCTCTCCCCCTCTCTTTTCCTTCCTTCCTCCTTCCCTTGCTTTCTTACACCCTTCCTTCCATTTTCTTTTCTTTTCTTTTTTTCTTTCCTTTTCTTTCTTTCTCTATTTCAAGAGCCCTCATCTCTGTTTCTCTCTTTTTAAATCTCATCTTTCCTTCTGGTCCCCCGAATTTAGAAAAGCATATTTGATAGCACCTCACAGGCAATTAGCGTCCATCTCCAATCACTTAAAAGAGGCACCAGTACACTTTGAAATCAGGGACTATCTATCTTTCGCAGGCATCGCCAGAAAAACAAATTGTGCCCGAGCTATCCTTTTAAGTACTTTAACCTCCAACCTCCTCCCACTTCCTTGCTTTTTAACTTCTCCTTTGAGAGATGTGATCATGCAGCACCTCAGAGCCTCAAAGAAATCTCATCTTTTTTCCTGTGTGAAACCCATTCCTTTATCTTACATCTCTGCCTCCGCCCCAAGATTACCCCCCAACCCTCGCCCACGGCCAAAGATTTCTGAACCTCAGTGTCTCTCACTCCCGGCAATTAAGCAGAAGATCCCAGCATTCTAGTCGGTGGCATCTCGCTCCTCACCGACAAAGACTCCATTAAAACAGATCAATTAGACCAGACGTTGGAGGCATCAGAAAATCGGCTTCTAGACAGCGCAGCTAAATTCTTTAAGGAAACGGAATGCCTGTTAGATAGAGCTGCCAGCCGATATTGCAAAAACAAGGAATCAGAGATGTCTTTCGCTGCACCCTTTCAGCAGAAGCGGCAACATAAATATACGCTTAATGTAGATCTAGATTTAAGAACTCCCAGTTCAGAGTGAGAACATGTCATTTTCCATAGCAAGGCTGGTGTGGTAACTAATCAGGCTTATGAAAATAAGTCATGCTTAAAACTAAAGGCAAAGTCCTTAAAAGTGTTTACCAGTAATTATGATAATGAGACAGGACCTGCTAGGATTTCAACACTTGGCTATATAAGTAGAATTTTACAGAACCTCTTAGCAGAGTAGAACTGTTATTGAATTCTCTGCTAAGTAAGTTTTTGTCATGCTTTCTAATAATATGTACTCTTCCTAAGACATTTTGCCCAAAGTAACTTAAAACTCCAAAGGAGTTAATTACTGGTTGTGACTGGTTAACAAATGCAGTTACTTCCACAGAGGTTCTTTAAATTATTAAACAGTTTCAAGCAAAGCCTTTCCAAGAGGAATGCAGTGATTTTGTTCAGCTTGCTTTGTACTTAGTGTTACAGTGCCACCAAGAAACAAATTCTGAAACTGGCAAGCACCACCAAGTGGCAGAAGAACATCACTCACTGAACAGAGCATAGTATCATTGAACATGTAAATAAAAATATATACATTATTTAACCTCATTATTAGTACCACAGAAATGGACAGGAATTACATTTTATGACAATGAAGATTGGATTAGTGATTGGATGAGTGCTTGAACTTTTCCCCCAACAGGGTCAAATCAGTTTACTTATTAGAACTGAATTTAAAACTATGTCTACAAATTGCACTTTGCATTGTGCATCATATGAATACTAGTTATACAATCCAATTGTGTCATGCCTTTGCAAAATTTCTTATTTTAAAAGAGTACAGGATATTTGCTTTCAATATTCCTGAGTTAAAACAGCTTATTTGTGGTATACACATTCTAGAATCGACTCAGAGGGTATAGAGTTAAGTTGTCATATTTTTAGTAGAAACAGCACAGAAATTCTTTCCATAGAACTTTTTAAAAACATTTTTTTCCCTCTACGTGGAAAAGGCATTGTTAAGAATTGTGAGATTACTCAGAGCTTTAATAGGGGTGCAGTTGGGGGAAGGGAGAAAAAATTATTCTAGAGCAAGAATAATTTAAGATAAATAAATGAATAAATTAAATTATTCTAGAACAAGAATAATTTAAGATAAATAAATGAACCTGGAGAAAATAAGACACTGTCAGTCAGAACTCTATCCTTTTTCTGATCTTTACTACTTTCTGATATTTCAATAATGGTAAGCTATATAGTATGCTTCTTAAGGGTCAAACATTGTGTCATGCAGGGGGAAACACATTTTTAATCCCCACAAAACCCTTATGAAACAAGGAATTCCTTATCCCCATTTTATAGAAAAGACATATAGCTTTTAAAGCATAAAGGGACTTGCCCAATGTGACAAACCTAGTCGGTGGCACAGCTGGGACTCAGCACAGTTTTGTCTGATGTCAGAGCCCAAAACCTACATCATCATTTTCTGCTGTATGACTACCTCTTAGCCTCTGAGAAAGGAAACTAACTGGAATATATTCATTCTGTCCATGCAGTCTCTTTGCCTTTTCTATGGAGTACCAGTAAGACCTAAATATTAAATCTCAACCATAAGCAATGAGATCCAGTGGTTTCCATACTTGCAATTCTTATGAATTAATTCATATGAATTATTTAAGAAGCTTTTTAAAAGATGGACAGATTCTAGGTCTCAACAGCAGGGATGCTAATTCAGAAAGTTTGGGGTTGGACCATGGAATCTGTATTTTAATATTCACCCTTGTTTAAGAAGTACTACTCTACTTATATGACAAATGAAAGGATACCTGGATTCTTGCCCAGCTGTCACAGGACTTTTGGCAGAGAAGTTTCTAAGACAAGATAAGGTTTTATACTAAAAAACAGACAAACAAAAATGGTGGGGGGGAATGCCTGGCTGGCTCAGTCAGTAGAGCATGCTACTCTTAATCTTCAGGTCATGAGTTCATGTGTTTGAGCACCACATTGGGTGTACAGATTACTTAAAAATTAAAAAAAAAAAAGATAAAGGCTTATACTCAGTGTGTAGATGAGCTGTTATACACATCCATGTTTATATCTACCATTAAGTATTGAATTTCTCTAGCATATCTTTACCAAATATGTAGTAAGCTTCTGTTATGTCTGACTTACTAGCTTTGTGACCATGGACAGTTTCCTCATTTGTAAAATATAGGTAAAAGTAATATCTACCTCCAAGGGTTCTTCTGAAGATTAAGGGATATATATGATTTAATGATAATGACCTTGGGGTGAATCCCTATGAATGAATGAATACCTAAATATGTATACATGTAGTCAGCTATATATTTCTATATAATAATCATATAAATATATAATCAAAAATAATTGAGTATATACAAGTTATATGTGTGTGACATTAAAGTGCACAATATGTTGATTACTAATAATGAAATACAGTATCATTTTCATATCTAATCCAAAACCTTAATATTTTATCTCTTAATTTCTAGCCTACATAAAATATGTAGACTCAAATAATTATTTCATCAGCTTTCATTTATAATTTATTAATATAAAAATACATATTATATTATCAGTAACAAATATATTGGTATATCAAGTGTTTAATTTGTAGATCAAATGCTATTGATAATGTTTCCAAGAAGTC